CTCCTCCCCTTTTCTTTTGTTTCTCTTCTTTGCCACTCTATTGGATCTCCTCATCTCCTTTCTCTCCTTACACTCTCTCTCTCACCCTCTCCTACTTAATTCATTGCTTTTATGTCCTTCTTATCCTCTTTTCTACTCTCCTTGTCACTTTTCTGCTCCTTCTCCTCAGCCTTGCAGGGAAGAAGAAGAAAGGCTCTTGATTGGTCCTATGGATCAGGAAGATGGAACTATGAACGAACTGCTGATGCCGTTTTTTCCCCCTCAGATTCCCTCTACTGGTTACTTGTGGGTACTGCAGTTTAATTATAATTCCGAGTACTTAAGACTTTTTTTTTTGTAAGTTTAAACAGTTACATACAGTTACACTCCCGTTAGCTGCTCCAGTTAATGTTTTTTTTTAATCTACATCTGTAGTATATTTATCTGTCTACGTTGTCCACTTATTATTAACTTATATTTAAAGTATTTTTTACTTTTACTTCCTTTTTTCTTTTTGCAAAAGTGCAATTTCTGAAGACAAACTGAAGAAAAAGGGACAATAACTTGTGAATATATATAGTCAAAATTATTATTAAGCATTTTGATAATACATTAACTACAAATATAAAAAAAAATTAAAGTGAAAATACAGTAGATGGTGCTAAAGATTTTTTTATACTTCGAATATTTTATTTTTCTTTATTACAAACAAACGTCACGTGTGTAAAAAAAAATATAAAACCTAAATATATAAATATAATTCTAACTATGACTGATGATGTAATTTCATATCTAATATTTCAAAATAAGACTCTAAAACATGAAACACTATTTTGGGACTGTGTTTTGAATTTTTTTTTTTTTTTAAATATATTTGTTGCCTCATCTACATGTCTGAGTGAACAATAAAAATAATTAAAACAAAATAATTTAACAATTTCTACATGTTATTTCTTTAGTTATAAAATATTAAAATATTAATTTTATTTACTATTTATTCCTTCACGAATTTTAGTTATACAATATTTATTTATTTTATTTACTATTTATTCCTTCACGAGAGATGCAGAGAGTCGTAACATAGAAGTGGGATGAGAGAAATACGAGTTGGATTAAGAAATGGGGGGGGGCGGTCGAGGAAAAGATGAGCAGGTGGAGAGAGAACAGGTGGGCGGGGCCATGTGGCGTCACAACCGAAAGCTTCTCCTTTTAAAGCTGCGACTCCCGTGACGCGCGAACGCGCTTTAAAAATACCTGCAGCGACGCTAACGGGACAGACGCGTTCACGGAGCTGCGGTTCTTTGCTGTCGAGCCTTCTACAGCGTCGCTGCTGCCTGGACCTTCTGTCCTCTTCACACTGAACTGGACTGTCCCCTGTCCTCCTTTGTCCTTCTCTGTCCTCCGCCTCGGTCTTCCAACGTCTCTCTCTCTCGCTCGCTGTTCTCATGCGATTCTTCAGACTCTCATTCAAGTGCTTTGTGGATGGTTTTTGAAGGTCGCTATAAGAGGAAAAAAAAAAACTGAGGCGTTTTTATTTTACAAAATTATTCTTTATAATTTTTCCTCTCAACAAAGCAGTTTGTTTTCTTATTCATTTTCGTTGAGAACCGGCTCAGAGCCAGGACCGTTCCTCACGTGATTCATCTTCAGTGAAGCAGAGGACAGCGGACGGACGAAAAGGACCGGACCCACCACTCGACTACGGTCGGCCAGGCTGGTGCTGGTGCGGGTCTGTGGACAGTTTGCCCAGATTGTTCAGTGAACCGATTCTGGGTATTTTTGCAGGTTGTTTAGACGTATTCGTGGACGTATTTTTGGTGTGTTTTCCGAAGGTGTTCCGAGATTTATTTCAGTTCCTAGACTGTTGTGTAGATTAAATTGTGAATTGGTGGGATTTCTGTCCCTTCCTGGGTTGAGAGAGTGATATTTGGTCTGCTGCAGTTTCTGACTGAAGTTTTGAAAAGGTTCATGGACTGATTTGACATCCAGGGGCTGGTTGACAGACTAATCTGTGGAGTGCTGTGGTTTTTGACCCGCTTTAAATTAATTCTAATTCGAAGACTGATTTCAACTATTCTCTAATTCAGACCTAGTCTTCCAACTGGTGTAGGAAGTGATTTTTGCACTTGCACTTTTACTTTTTTTTCCCCCCTGGGCCTGATGGAGTACCACAGCAACTCCAACTCCTCACTGACACACCTGGAGGAGACCAAGAAGAAGCCCCTTACGTTGTCGAATGGGGGCGAATACCTTCCTGAATCGGCATCTAACGGCAACACACCAATAATGGTAGTGGTGACGACAGAGCCCGGTTCTGGTTCGGACAAAAAGGGAATTGTACCAAATGGTGCAGGGCCAGGATACCCAGAGCGGGAGACATGGACCCGTCAAATGGACTTCATCATGTCGTGCATCGGCTTCGCTGTTGGTCTAGGAAACGTGTGGAGGTTCCCCTACCTGTGCTACAAGAATGGAGGAGGTAACAAGGACACACACACACACACACACACACACAAAGTTTACACCTTGTCGCTAACAACAAAATGGCGGTAATAACCAACCACATTATGAAGTGTTATTTTGTTGGTCAACTGGTAAGCATTGTTTTAACCCCCCCCCCCCCTCCCCCCCCTTCACTCCCATTGAAAACCTGATAACATGTATATTTTTTTTTTCTTACAAACAATAT